TGAACGAGGGGTCACAACTACAATAACAAGGATCATAAAAAATCATTTCAATGGTCCATGGCCAACGTGGAGGAAAGTTCCTAATGACGTAAAGGAGTTGATGTTTGAAAAATTTCAAGTACTATGTTTGTTTTTTATTTAAATTATAACTTTTTTATTTTCAAGGCAACAAGACAATTTTTTTAATTACTCTATTATTTTGATGTAGGAAAAATGTGTTTGGCCTACAAATCAAGATGTTTTGGTTCGACGAATATGGGATGCAATTTGTTCCGATCGATTAAAAGATAAGCTTTCAGAAGAGAGGAACAAAGCAATGACAGAAGTCAAAACAAACAACATTAAGGATTGCAAAGGCATGTCAAGAGAATGGATCACAAATGAAATCTTGGATGCCCTTATCTATACGATATGGGGTACAGAAGAATTGCAAAACAAATCGAGAAAAGCAAGGCAAAATTGGTTAATGCCTAAAGAAGGAAGCATTCCAAAGCACACTAGTGGTTCAGTTCCATTTATTGTTCATGCAAAAAAGATGGCATGAATTAATCTTACTTCGTATTTATATGTATGGGTTTTTTCAAACTAAATTTAAATTCTATGTTTAGTAGTTTGACTTTAGCTTTTCCTTACATGTTATTTATATATATGGATTATGATTGACTATATATAGCTGTTAATAAATGCAAACAATTGAGATGAAAAGAGATGTTAGCTTTTTGGAAGTATTCAATCGCACCCATAAGCGTTGAGCGGGTTACGGTGATTTTATAGATAACAAGTCTAAATCTGTGAGTGTATGTACAAATTTGATTAATTTTTACTTCAAAGTTGTTAATATAATTGAATACTAATCTTATTTAATTTTTATGTAGGAAATGTATAATTCTGTATTACCACAAAAGTATGGAGAAGATTCATCTTCTCAGCCAGAATTTGATCTACATGCTTGGACTAAAGCAATTGGAGGGATGGAGACTACACGCATTCACGTATATGGGTTTGGTACTCGAGTACATGTTACAGCTCTTCTTAGTGGAACACAAAGCAATGCAACAACATCTGAGTCTGCGTGTGGCCTTATCAACTCTAATGCTACCAATCTCGCAATTGCATTAGAGGAAAAAGTGAAAAATCTATCAAAAAACTTAGATAAAATTCGTGAGGAAATATGTGGGGAAATACGTGAAGAAATTAAGAATGAAATGGCGGAAAGCATGAGTGAATCTATGGCACGTATGGAAGCAATGATCGTGACTAATGCGTTTTCAAAACAAGGAAATGCGGGTACTTCAAGCTCAAATATTGACAAATAAAAACGTAACATCTCATGATATGATATCTCTTTTCCATTTCTAGACTTGGAAACTTTTTAGTATTGGTGTTTAATAACAGTATGGAGTTTATATCAGGTTATGTATTTGACATTTTGAGATATTGTATGTTTTTGATAATTTTTAATTGTATGAACTTGACTTTGCATTTTAGGTTTTAATGTGTTTCTCTTAAATATTTTGAAAGTCAATTATGGAAATCAATTGGACATTTATTATCGAAATTTTAATTGTTGAATTTTGTTTGAAAAAGCATCACTAATAAAAGAGGTATTAGTAACAGAATTTTCGTTGGAAATTTCCAACGGAATTTCTGCATGACATTCAACTGTTTATGTACTTTTTCAAACGAATTTTCCAATAGAATTTTTCGTTGGAAATTTTTGACGGATTTCCAATGAAAAGTATTACCGACGAGGCTTTTACTGACGGATTTTCTAATAGAAATTTCCGTTGAAAATCCGTCAGGAATACGTATTTCTAACGGAATTTTAACTTTTTCCAACGAAAAATTCTATCGAAAAAAGCTTGTTTTTTTGTAGTGATAAATTATTCTTAGTTTACATCAAAAATTAAGGGTGTTACACTTTCTCTCTAGTCTGGTGCATTTGGCGTTGACAAAGGATGCAACAAAAGAAGATAACCATGGGCATGTTAACTTGACATGAAGGCATTGAGTATGATCAGCAACAATTTCATAGGAAATATCATGTCAACAGAAGATCCAAATTTTTTGATAACAATTACTAAACACTACTAGGAATGGCATGATTAGAGTATCAAAGTAACATAATAAAAAAATTTGAAACAAAATAAAACCATGCCTCTTACCTTTGGATCATCTTAGTTGTTTAATGCAAAGTTGAGCACCACATAAAATCAAAAAACGTTTTACCTTTTCAAGCTATATAATAATCAAATGGATTCCTTTTGAGGATAAAAAAGTGAACATCCTTTATGTGAAAGAATCCTAGTCACTCAATCGCTTGACCTCCAATGTTGCGCAAACAATTGCAACGGATCTTTCTTAAAGAAAGAGCTTTATGCCACGAGCTTGGCTAGTAAGGGGACAACGATTTGTCCTTTTTCTTCTTTGATTTCCAACAAAGAATCAACGGAGAAGTTTTCAAAAAAAAAAAAACTACTCAAGAGTGGTGGCACTCAAGAGAAAAACTAATTTTTTTATTTTTTTTCTCGTTTCACAAGAATGGATAAAATGTGATATTTATATCTAGATCTACCTTATCAAAATTTGCAAAATAAGTTCCTAATATTATAAAAATTATAAAATTTAACCAATACCTAATTAAACTCTTTTAATTAAGTCCTTAATAGTTAAAACTTAGAATTTGATTTAAGTCTAACTTAAGTCATCACACTCTCAATTTAATCCAAATTGCAACCTTTGTGTGTGACCTAGTAGGCTCCTAACATGTTGGCAATGGAATTGAATCATAATTTTGTTAATTAATTAATTTAAATAAATCATATTCAATCTTAAATTAACTAATTCAATTTCATAGACCAGGATTGGCATCTAGTAATGCATCTTGGCCATCCAATTGTTAGGTGAGTCAAAGGATTTTTTGACAATCTTTTAGTGCATAGTTTATTAATGTAATTCATTCCCTCGTCATATATCTCGGAGATGATAAGAGCTTTGTGTAAGGCCTACTCTTATTGACTTCCATCTTTGTTCTTATAGTTAAATCATTAGTTTTATGGAGACTTATGAAACTCATTTCATAATTTCCTAATCACCTTGGCC